GTTTAGGTTTTGAGTTATTGTTAGGATTAGGGCTAGTGCTAGGTTTAAGGTCAGGGTTAGTGTTAGGTTTAGGTTAGGGTCAGGTTTTAGGTCAGGGATAGGGTTAGGGTTGTTAGTGTTAGAGCTAGGTTTAGGGTTAGTATTAGTGTTGGTTAAAGTTAGGGTTAATGTTAGGTTCAGTCTCAGGGTTAGGGTTAAGATGATGAGGGTTAGGATAAGGCTTAAGTTCAGAGTTAGGTTAGGGTTAATTTTAGGTTCAGGCTTAGAGTTAGGTGCAGACCATTAGGGTTAGGATAAGGGTCAGGGTTAGGTTTAAGATCAGAGTTATGGTTAGGTCTTAGTTTATATTTATGATTAGAATTATTAGGTTTAGTGTTCAGATTAGGCTTTAGACCATTAGGGTTAAGGTTGGTTTAGGGCTAGGGTTAGGATTAGATTTAGGTTTAAGACCCTTAGGATTAGTGTTAGGTTAGGGTTAGGGTTAAGACCATTAGGCTTAGAGTTAGGTTGGGGTTAGGGTTATGACCATTAGGCTTAGAGGTAGGGTTAGAATCATGGTTAGGGTTAAGTTCAGGCTCAATTTTAGAGTTAGAATTAGGATCAGGGTTAGGGTTAAGGCTCTTAGGGTCAGGCCATTTGCGTTAGGTTTAGTGTTAAGACCTTTAGGTTCAGCGTTAGGGTTAGGCTTAAGCTTAGGGGAGCGTTAAGAGCATTAGGGTTAGTATTACGAGCATTAGGGTTAGCGTTAGTGTTAAGGCCATTAGGCTTAGATTTAGGGTTAGGTTTAGTGTTGAGACCATTAGAGTTAGGGTTAGGGTTTGTGTTGACCATTAGGCTTAGACTTAAGGTTAATGTTAAAGACCAGTAGGGTCAGAGTTAGTATTAAGACCATTAGGGTTAGAGTTAGGGTTAAAAGACCATTAGGGTTAGGGTTAGTGTTGAGACCATTAGGGTTAAGACCGTTAGGTTTAGTGTCAAGACCATTAGGGGTAGGTTAGAGTTAGGCTGCACATTTAGTGCAGTTTAGGGTTAGGTTTAGGGTTAGGCTGCATATTTAGTTCCCGGCTGTTTGCTTCCATTCTGGCCTCTGTTCCCGTGCCCTTTGCTGTTACCTGTGGAATTAAGTCGGGTTTTTTAGGGTTCCACCGACCTCAGCTCGGCTGCCTCGGATCATCCCTCCTCATTGGTCATGGGAGGAGTCTTGGGCGCGAGAAGACTTTGTTAAGGTGAGCCTGGCGAGTTTGCCTCCCCAAATTAATTAAGTGGAGTCCCAAGTACATCTTAGCTCATTATGGACACCGGGAACAGTTTGCTCCCCCCCCATCAGCACCCACTTTTGGACGGGCACCAACGCGACGTCCAACACCACCGGCGAGTTCGGTAATGAGCAAAAGGAGACTTTGCATATGTATGATATGTTAATTAGCACCAGTTTTATTATCTGCCCGTGCAGTGTTTTCCCTTGAGCTTGACTCCTGAGCTCGGCTGCGTCGGGTCCCCCTTTGATGAGCGTTGGTGTCCAACCCCCACCCTCCGCCACGGTCAGGGACATCTTCCAGTAGGTAGGGTTGCTCCAAGCCCCATCCAACCTGACCTTGAACCCTTCCAATCATAGACCCATGGACCAGTTTGGGTTGGGAGGGACCCTTGAAGGTCCACCTAGTCCAACCCACCCTCCACCATGAGCCAGGACATCTTCAGCTCAATCAGGTTCCTCAAAGCCCCATCCAACTTGATCTTGACTGTTTCCAGGGACGGGGCGTCTCCCCCTGGGCATGACATCACTTGGTACGGAACATTCCTTTCACCAGTTTGGGCTCGGTGTCCCGGCTCTGTCCCCTCCCGACTCCTTGTGTCCCTCAAGCCATCTTGCTGGCTGAGCGTGAGAACCTGAAAAAATCCTTGACTTAGTCTAAACATTACTGAGCGAGAACTGAAAACATCGGCGTTATCAACATTCTTCTCGCCCTAAATCCAAAACATAACACTAGAACAGCTACTAGAAAGAAAATTAACACTCTCCCAGCTGAAACCAGGACACCCGGTTAATTTTTTTTACTTTACTTTGTTTTTTTGACATTTCTTTTTGCCTTTGACGAGGCTATCTTTATAGGTATCTTGTCATGGTGGTCCAAGACTTCTTTAAGGAAATGAAATACGTTATTGATTATTTGAATGGGGGAGAAAAGAAAAACTAAAAAAAAAATTAAATTCCCTTCAATACCATCCTTGAATAATCATTAACCCCTGGCCTAAACCACACCACTCTCATGCTTAACGCAAAAGCCAACTAAAATCAACCCAAAAGGTTCGCTCGTGCCAAGACACGTCCCGTCAACTGGTTCGTCCTCACTGTGAGGCCCGTTCCCATTCAGAGACAAAAATGTCAATTTAATATCATCATTCATAGCCACACCCACGCTGGCTATTTCAAATAATCTTATTATTTCCTTTGTGACAATTACAAAGCAAAAGCTTATTTTTCTTTCCGATCCCCTTCTGGCACCTAATGCTACGCTGACAGCTCCGATATTCCCCGTACGTCTGGTTTTGCCCTTATTATTGCCTTGGTCTGAATTCTGGCAGGATCTTTTTTTTAATCCTTGCTGCAAATTGTAATTAATTATTTTCATAACGGACTAACGTGCCCTGTAACCCTTAAAAACCTGTCCAAGTTGGGCTACTCTTCCGTTTTCCCATAAAGTCATTAGCCTTAATGGGAAATCCTTAATTTAGCGCCTCCTCGCTTTGCCAATTAATTTTCTAACACCGCATCGGTTGACGCTTAATTCTGAGTTTCTGCCGAGGTGTGGGTCATAGTGAACATTTTGACTTCAGGTTTATTTGCCGAGTTGCGCATTAAGACCTTTTCCGATTATCCTCGTTCTCATCCCGTTGGGTTTCTTCTCCCGTGTGCGATTCCCAGTGCCTCATGGAATGTCACAAAGGAGCGAGGCGTCATCGTCGCCCGTTCAACCCACTCCAGGAGCGGAAAGAGGTCGGGATGTTGGCCAGGACGCCCCGGCGGCCAGGAATCAGCTCGATAAATCCATCATCGGTACGTCGACACAACCGATAACTGATTTATTCCATGTTTTTTCTTGGTTTACTTCCTAATAATCACTTTTTTTTTGAGCCAAAATGGGCTACTTAGTTGAGCAATCGGAATTTACAGCCAATTTCTTCTTGACCTTTTCTTTTTGTCACCTTTTTTTTTCTTTTTATCACCCTTTTTTTTAATTTTTATCGCCCTTTTTTTCTTCTTATTGACCTTTTCTCTTCTTATCACCCTTTTTTTCTTCTTATTGCCCTTTTTTTCTTCTTATCGCCCTTTTTTCTTCTTATTGCTCTTTTTTCTTCTTATCGTCTTTTTTTTCTTCTTATCCCTCTTTTTTCTTCTTATCACCTTTTTTTTCTTCTTATCGCCTTTTCTTCCATCTTCTTATCTTCACAGCTTATATAAGGATTGGGTTTGATTGATTGCAAGAGTTTGAGCACCTGCTTACCCACATTGTCCTCAAATTCATCCCATCGTCCTCTCCCTGTTGCCCAAAATCTGCTGCTTTGCTTCTTAAGAACCAGTTTTCCAGAAGGAATTTTGGAAATTCTTTTCTTTTTCTCATCCTGAGTTGTATGGTCTACGCAACCTTCACCAGACTAAATAATATATTTTATTATTTAATTATTGTTGAATTTTTTTTTTTTTCTTTGCAGGTATGATGGAGTTTAATCTCTTTGGAATATTTTGTGTAAGCTCCTGATTTATTACCTTAAATTTCAACTATCTTTATTAACAAAAATGTATAGTTCTGCCATCAGATGTAGGTTTTTTTAAAAATTTTCAGCCAGGAGCAGATATCTGCAGCTTCTTTGGAGGCTCAGCGTACGAGCTGTGCACTCGATGGATGGGGCCGGGCGCCTTTTACACATATTCAAAGAATCACAACGGGAAAGAACCCAAGGTGGGTGCCTTCTGTGTTTGCTTTGACCAATTTTTTTTTTTGATTTCCCATATTTTCCCCTTTTCTTACATTTTTTTTTTTTATTCCCCATATATGCCATTTTTAGGTAAACACACCACATCTACAAGACTAAAACTGTTATTTTTCACGTGTTCCAATTCTACTTAAATGTACCGTTCTCGATAAGACTAAAATAGGTTTGGTTTTTTTTATCATGCAGGCCGTTTTTATTTAAACATGCCACACTTACGAGACTAAAAGAATTACTTTTATGGCTAAACACACATTTAAAGGGGCAAACCTCACCTTGGTGTTGTCATCCCTAACTATTCTTCATTTCCCAGCAAATTAGAAAAGGAAAGAGTGGAATGAGAGTCCCGTGTATCCAAAATTCCTGTACTTTGCCCACTTCCATAAAATACTGTATTATTTCTTTTAAGACTAAATGAAAATAACTATCATCTAACTGTTCCATCCCTGGAAACAGTCAAGGTCGGGTTGGACGGAGCTCTGAGCGACCTGGTCTAGTTGAAGATGTCCCTGACCATGGCGGGGGGTTGGGTTGACCTAGATGGACCTTCCAAGGTCACTTCCAACCCCCACCCATTCTATGATTCTATGATTCTCTGAAGGGTCTGTAGCCTGAGGACCGGTGTTCATGGCAACAGGGGGGATTAAAAGAAGGATTTTGCCCAATGGGGGATGGCTGAGCATTTTCCCAACATGCTGTCTGCTGGTTTGAGGAGAATGCAGAGGATTCGGGGGCCAAGACAGCATGGGCATACGTTAGCTGGACACGGGACATGGAGGAAGGAGTGGATGGGAGTCCCATCACAGAGTGCAGCAGGTCGGTGGGTGCCATATCCCCATGACCAGCCCATCAATCAGCAGCGGCCGTGTCACCACGGTGTCACAAAGGGCCGGGGGCGTGGCGGCGGGGGGGGGGGGCATATAAAAGGAGCCGCAGGGTGGTGGGTCCTGCACCCTACGGATGTAGGACGAACGCCGGGATGAGCTCCTACATGGCTGTTGGTCTAAGGAGTGATTCGCCGGCATGAGACAGACCAAGATGAACTTCTGGGACGGGATGGAGCACGCCTTCATTATGCCCAGCATCACCGCTGAAGGTACAGCCGTCCACAGCCACCGCCGGAGCGTTGCGATGACCAACGGTTGCGGCGTTGCGTGTGGGCAAGGCTCGGCACTGCAGCCATCTCAGGGCCGTCGCCATTTGGGACCGGGGACGGTGATGAGAGGGTGGATCTGCCACCTCACCACGGCTTGGGGGTTGTTGGAGGGTTGAGAGCTGGTGGACATGAAGCGTGACCCGATTTTCCTTTCTTTTCCAGAGCGAACAGCCATCTGGGACGCCGTGGCCGGCTACGTTCAAGAACAGCTCTTGCTGCACAAGGTGGGGAGTCCCCATGACCCTGCAGTTACTCTTCCCCTCCTCCAAAAGCAGGAAACCCATCCCAAAAATCCCACTGATGGAAAAACAGGGCTTGTGCAAGGGTGGTAGCACCTCTGGTAGGTGGTGTGGTGCTGTAGGGCTGATCCCGGTCGCTGGAGACCCTTGGGCTGCTTCCCAAAGTTCTCCCCGCTGTCCCAGCAGCAGGAGCAGGCAGGATCCAACCTTGAAGCACCGTCCCTGGACAGGGCCACCTCCAACTCTCCGTCCGGCCAGTTGTCACCCTTCAACCCTTCTTTTCCATTTGCAGGGAGTCCGGATTCCCACGCTCGGCTCCTTCGATACTGTCCCTAAACAGGTCCAGGTTGGAGATGAGGCTGTGATTATCCAGCAGCCCATCTTTCACCTGGCCAGGAATCTTGTGAACGTCCACAACCTGACGGACAACAAAGCCTACCTGCCTGGTAAGACGGTGGATTAAACCCTTGGTTGGCTGCGCGGCCATTGCATCCCTTCCCTGGGTCTGAGATGCTTCTCTAAAGCAAATCCCCCTCTGCAGACCAGGTCCAAAAATGTTTTTTGGGGGTTTTTTTGGGCGATGCAATGATGGCAATACGCCTGCAGAAGGGTCACTGGGTAAGCGTCTCCATCCCTCTTGTGGTTTTTCCAGGAAACAAAGAGCTGGAGGCCCTTAAATACACCAAGGTGGCTGCAGCCGCCTGCGTGTCCCGGCAGAAAGCGGAGAGCTGCATCCAAGGCACCCTATCCCTGCTCTCTTACTGCCTGGGGAAAGGGGAGAACATCGCTCTTGCCCTGACGGACATTGGGGTGTTGCTCATTGAAGGCAGGAGGGTGCAAATGAAGTTCTACTACAGCTTCCTGGAGACGTTGTCCGGGAAGGAAAACTTGGGAAAAGCTGTTTTCAAGGTGAGCATTTTGGTTTCTCCGTGGCACGGGCAGTCCCACGGCAGTGTCCCAGCACTGCTTGCACGTGGCCCATCAGGACGTGGGCAGCCGCTCGGTCCAGACGAGAGTTACGGTCCTACCAACTCTCGCTGCCTTGAGCTCCTCTGGTATCGAGTGCCTCGGCCACGCCAAAGACGATTTACCGTCTTTGGGCTCTTCCGATATCGAGTGCCTCAGCCGTGCCAAGGACATCCTACCGTCTTTGGGCTCTTCTGATATTGAGTGCCTTGGCCACGCCGAAGACCTCCTACCATCTTTGGGTTCCTCTATTGCAGGTCCCCCAGCTGCTGGACATGGTGGTGTCCCCAGTGGTGCCCGTGGCCAGCCTGAGCTCCTCTGGCCGTGTCATCATCTTTCCCGAGTGAGTACATTGGCGGCCGTAGCTGCTGTTTGATGCATTTGCTCCTTGTGACCATGGGTGTCCTCCCACAGGGACACCAGGCAGCGACTGTCATTGATGTCCCCACGTCGTAGTCGCTCCCATCGGGCAGATCTGATGGGAAAGACAGATGAATTTAGGCAACGCTTTTTTCCCACGGTGGCCTGGACTTCTTTGCCAGGTGACTCCATTTCCCAGGACTGTCCTTGGGGTCGGGACATGGTAGATTTGGGAAACACACGGTAGACTTGGGAAAACGATGGACGGCAATGCCAAAATCCGCCCATGAGCAGGCGATCACGGCAAAGGCTGGTGATGCTCTGGGTCATGTCGGCCTCTTCTCCTTGTTTCCAGGTTTGAAATGGAGTTTGTGCCCAAACCACTGGCCAGGGATCTTCTCAAGACCTCGAGACAAGGCCCCGGTGAGGACAAGAAAGTGAGAAGAGACCACTGGTCACCTTTTGGACAAGGCAGGAAAGGTAAAGCAGCTCCCAGCTCCTTTCCATAGCATGGGCAACCAAATTCTGTCATTTGACGGGACAATCACCAGAGTTGAGTGTCACACGGCTCCAACTTGTGCCAAAGCTTCACTCCAGCTCGGCACAGCCTTTTGTCCTAATGACTCGTTAGCTTCACCAAAATGGAGGATGGTGATCCAAGGCCCCCTTCTCCCCACCAAGCAATGTTCCCCCAAAAAGAGTCCCTGTCACCTCCCCGGCATCACCCAGCTCCTTGTTCCCAAACCTGGAGCTGATGATGCAGTCGGAAAATTAGGTTGGAAATGGGGAATGGGGGCAAGACCCGGTGTCAGGGAGAGTGCGAGGCTACGATGGTGACTGCAAGGGGAGCAGAACGTCCCTCTTCGATATTTTGGGAAGAGGCCTGAGCACCCCTGGGTGTCGGTGGTGCCGACAGCGTCCCAGCAATGCTCTTCTGACGAGATCTCTCTTTCCTGCTTCCAGTGGGATCTCCTGGTTTTCCCTTTCCTGTTAGTCCAGACGCGGTTAATGCTGAAATACCACAGTTCTGGGAAATCACAGGGCCGAGGAAGAGGAAGAAGTCGCGGGTCAGGTGAGGTTGGAGGCTCAGGGCTGGTGTGTGCATGGGGTCATTTTGCCCAGAGAGGTGGTAGGTGCCCCATCCCTGGAAATATTCCAGGTCAGGTTGGACAGGGCTCTGAGCAACCTGATCGAGTTGAAGATGTCCCTGACCATGGCAAGGGGTGGGGGTTGGACTGGATGGACCTTCAAAGGTCTGTTCCAACCCCAACCATTCTCTGATTCTATGATTGGAAGGGTTCAAGGTCAGGTTGGTTGGAGCTTGGAGTGACCCTACCTACTGGAAGATGTCCCTGACCATGGTGGGGCATTGAGTTGGACTAGACGGACCTTTAAAGGTCCCTTCCAACTCCAACTATTCTCTGATTCTATGATTTTCTGACCCAGCAAGAGCCCATTCCCCAGCCCCAAACACTCGCCCTTCATCGCTGCCCAACATCCCACCGGAGGGGTGGGATGGGGATGGCAGGAACCCCCCCATTTCACAAGGCTGGATCTTCTCCAGCACTTCAGAAGAGCCTCCGTGGGGCCTGGGGACACAGGGACCGCCGTATGTCGGCCAAGGGTCCCAGCTCAGGGGGTATCCTTGGCTGAGCGGCCCCAAACCCATCGTGTCCTTCCAGGCAGCGGTCAGAGATCCCAAAGGGCTCCTCTGCCAAAAAGCAGCCAGTGACCAGCCGTCCGAAGGGCAAATCCATGCTCAAAGGCCAAACATCAAAGCAGAGCCAAGTGCAAGCACTGCCTCAGAGCCACGGAGAAGAAGGAATAGTGGATCAAATCCTTGCTGAAATGGCAGTGAGGAAGAGGGTGAAAGCCAAGCCCTCCCATCCTCGGGGAGCCTTGACCTTCGAAACACCGGTAATAGCCATATTATCGGCAACGAGCTCTGAGGCCAGCCTGCTCTAGAAGCCCGCCTACAAGGTGCTCAGACGGCCGTCACCAAGACCAAAATGGCCAAAATAGTGACGTTTAGGCTTGAGAAATTCTGGCCAGTGCTGGAACAACCTCCGAAGGTGGTATTAGAGACCCGGAGCTCTGAGGCCAGCCTGCTTGAGGTGTCCCTCAATGAACATCTCTTGGTTTGACCCAACTGATGGGCGAGGAGACCAGCTCAACATGATGCTCTCCTCGACCGGAGAGGCCCTGGCTAGAATGATCAGGAAAAAGAGGAATAAAACCAACAGAGATGTTGCAGAAGAGTGTTGGCTTTTTTTAATTATGAACGAGGGGGAGAAGAGGTTTTACAGTTGGCCGTGGCTCCGGCATTAGCCCAACGTGCTCCTGGAAGCCGAGGGGCCGTCTGCAGGACCTTCCCTTGGGAATCTTTTCCATGGCTGCTATGGAAAGGAATCTGCTTTTTTTGGGCAAGGGAGGGCAACTGGGCCCTTTGGGACAATGGGGTGAAGATCTGAACGCCCCTGGAAGGGAACAGGGAAGGATGCGAGTGCAGCTGGGGAGACACGGAGGGCACCTGAGCTTTCACCCAGGGCCATAAGGGACCAGGGAAGGAGAGAAAGCAAGGCTGAGCCCAGCTCTGCTGGGCTGGACTTTATACTTCCACCTGTGGTAGAGCCAGGGCTCTTTACTATCCCATTTATCTCCCAGTTTATCCGATTTATACCCTATTTATATCCAATTTATATCTCTGTTTATGAAATCCTTCAAGTAGGTGCCCCGTTTGCCCATCCCGTGGGCCACCTGCGCTTCCAGAAGGTCCATCTCCAGTCCCAGCCCTACGGCACTCGTGTCTCCTGCTGTTCTCCTTCCCAAATCCATCGTAATCAATCCCGGAATCCAACCAGCCTCACAGAAACCTTTGGCTTAGGACCACCCCCTTCCAGGACCATGCTGGGCTGATCTCAAAGCCGTGGCATCGCAGGGGAATTATTAAGTCAGCGTTATAGGTTTTATTAAACAATTCCAACTTAAACTTCTGGAGAAATTCAGTTTGCAACTGGTCAGCCAGCACTGCCTGAGCTATAGTGGGTGAATAAGTATGTAATATAGTAGTGAACAGCTTATTGGCTGTTCAAAGTAAATTCCATCTCATCCCAGAAAAAAGGGAATTTTCTTTTATCCTCCTGCAGCAGCACCATAAATAACATGGGTTTGGGTGTTGGTTTTTTGTTTTTTTTTTTTCTTTTTTTTACATCAAGTGCTGCCATCCAGGGGCGAACGGCTGCTTGGCAGGTGGCGGTTCATGCAGCAATATCTGCAAGAGGAGCGATGTCTGCAGTAAACTTTCTAGCATCTATGATTAAGCGCCATCTCCCGTCTGGTTTTTTTATTGGCCACGCTGGAGAATTATCCAGGGAGCACGTCTGGGAGAGAATTTGTCTTTTTGCTAGGGCAGTTATAACCACCGCAACATTGATTTATGATTGACGATGCCATGCATCAATTCTGCCCAGGCAGGGAGGGGGCGGAGGTTGGGTTGGCCATCTTGACCCTCCTGAGTGTTATTTTTGCCTTATTTCCTCCCTTTTTTTTTTTTTTGCAATGAGGTATGGTTTTAAGACAGCAAGGGCTCCCCTTACCAGCAGTCTCATGGCTTGAGGGTCTACAGGGGCAGTAGAAAGTTCACTTACTTAATGGTCTTACTGGTACAGCAGTGGGCTCCCCGCCGCCATCCCAAGGGTCTTTGCCCCCCACCCAAAACGCCACTCGGCACGTGGTAGAGCGCGGTTCGGTGTTAGGGGCTGCTCCCTCGGTCGAGGATGCTCCCGGTCCTCAAAAGCCGTCCGCTTCGTCTTGGTCTAAGTCAATACGGTCGTCTCCACTGACGGCGATGCGCCACGTCGCTGCATTGTCCCGGCACATCAGCCAGTTGAAGGGGATTCTGTGGAATGGTCTTCACGGTATTTCTGCGGTTGGCAGCAGATACCTCAGGTTTAATAATAAAATTATTCCGATTCATCTAATCCATTCTCCTGGCTAAGTTCTTGGTCGGGGTCCTCCCAAATAATCTCCATCCCCACCTTCCAACGAGGGCTCACTCCGTGCCGCCGTAAATCGTCAGCGGTCGAATCCGCCATCCTGCCGGCTACGCCGATGAGGTGAATTATTGAGAGAAGCCATCGTTGGCAGGGTTAACTAAAGGGGTTTTATTAACGATTAAGCGACGATCAAAGGCTAATGAAGCGATGATTGAATGAAAATTAAACGCTAATCAAATGGTGATTAGGCAATAATTGAATGGTAATTAAACAGTGATTTGACAATGATTTACATGATAATTTAGATGATGATTTACATGATAATTTAGATGATGATTTAGAAGATAATTTCGACGGTGGTCAAACACTCTACTACTTACTACACTTAATTAAGCCAAAGCTGCATATATAAATGTTGCTATCACACAATATCATTTTAGATCTAATATAAAACATCACTCACCCCGTTGCGGATATCGGATGCCGGCTGAGGTGACCCTCAGCCTCGAGGGGTGACCTTGGGAGACCATCTTTGCTCAAGGGGAGACGACCGCCGTGCAGCATGGGAGACCTCAGTGGGGTCTGGGGGGGGGGGGGGGGGGGGGGGGGGGGGGGGGGGCTGCAGGGTGAGGGTTGGGTGGTAGAACAAGCGCAGAGCCCCGGTGTTGGTGGGGTGAAGGGGCTACCAAGGGCAGGTTGGGGGGTGGCCACCAACAGCTTTCAGTCCTGGCCACCCAGGTATGGGAGGGGTCGCTGGGTCCCAGCTGATGGCCCCCCAGGATTAACCACCCATCGTTGATGGATCACCAGCGTGATGAGCCCTCACAGTTAACGACTTTGAGCGTGAGGGGCCCAAGGACTGATGGGACCCTGGGGTTTACCACCCCAAGGGTGTTGGGTACCCTGTTTCCTGCGCCCTAAGGTTAACCACCCCAAGGTGGGATGTTCTCCCAGGGTTGACCACCCCAAATGGTGATGGAACTCTGGGATGAACCATCTTTGGTTGTTGCAACCCATGGGTGAGCACCCTGGGGGGGGCTTAAGGGCCAGAAAATTGCGATGAGCTCCTTCTGTCCCCCCCACAGAACCCCTGCATCCCCTGGGATCATCCTAGTTGGAAAGGACCCCAGGAGGTCCAACATGGGGACGGCACTTGGGGACACAAGGGCTTGAGAAGCTGGGGTCCCCAGATGCCTGGGGACATGGGGACAGGGACAACGGGGTCTCCTGGCTGCCTGGATCCCCTGGGAAGGGGTTGGGTGCTTTTAGACCCAGCGCCGGCCCAGCACAGCACCGCAAATGGGCGACACCCACCCAGACCCCCCCACCCCCTTCCCTTCCTCCCGCCTCACCTCATCTGTCTGTCCATCCTCTGGTACCCAATACTCTTCATCCATCCATCCATCCCTGTATCTGTCCATCTGTCCCTCTGTCCTCTCGTTCCTCCATCCCCATCCTCATCCCTCTGTCTGTCCCTTACCCCCTCCAGGCAGCAGCCAGCTGTCACATCATGTCCCCAAAGGGCTCACGGTGTCCCCACAGGGCCTCATGGTGTCCCCAAAGGCCGTTAGGTCACCATGGCCGTGACGGTTGCCCTCGTGATGCCACCACAGTCACACTGGTCACTGTGGCTGTGCTGTCCCCGTGACTCTGCTGGTGACAATCCCTATGACTGTGACCACCGGGATGACGGTCCCCATGGCAGCACCGATGGCCAAGCTGGCGGCCATCCCCATGGTGGCCATGGCCAGCGGCCTTGACCACGCTGGTGACCAACCCTATGACCACGCTGGAGGCCACGATCACACGGCTAACCATTCCCATGGTGGCCACGACTGTAGCCGTCCCCATGACTATACCAGTGACTGTCCCCATGACTTCTGGTGGCCAAGACCACCCAGTTGACCATCCCCATGCTGTCCATGACCGCGGCCATCCCTACGACCGTGACAGGTGACCGTCCCCACAGCGGCGAGCCTCCCAGTCACCATCCCCATGGGTGACGGTGACGCCCAGGGACGAGCGG